CAATCACATTACTTTTTTCAAAGTCTGTCGGTGATTGGTCAGTGCACATCTGTTATTCAGTTTATGCACAGAGAGCAAAGTGTGTAGCCATGTCACAGAAGCATGGGGGGAGAGGGCATTAGGTGGACAGTGTGGGCAGTGGGCAGAAAGCTGCACTCTGATCGGAGAACCTAGGTGCTGAGTACCGGACACCAGAAATTATGAAGTCACTGGCTGCTTTTGAGACAAGAGCCTCCGTTTCTGGGAGGGTAGGAGAAGCGTGGCAGCTCCTTCACGTACCTGAAGTTCCTAGTGAGGTGGAAGTGTTCAGGAAACACTGCTTTCCCTGTTTTAGTGGACAATGACTCTGGGTCCGATGAAGAACAGTGGAGTAATGTTAAGAGAGCATTAGAAACAAGGTCTACACTTGGTCCACACCTAACCCTAAGCTTCATTTCCTGATCTACACTCGAGGGAATAAGTGTGATTCCATCTAACTTTTGGGGCTGTTTTGAACACAGCACATAGAAAGTGCTAAATAAATGTCTGTAGAAAGAAAGATCCAGGTCTCAGTTTGACCAGGAGTAGTGACCCCACCCAGTTCTCATAACCCTTCGATTACACTTGAGGCGGGGACGCGAAGGCTGCCTGGGTGCCGGCTGGGATGAGGGTGAGGGTGGGGCAGATACTTGGAGGAAGAAAGCCAGGTCCCTTGCAGGGACATGGATCAGTGTTTGTAGTGTGCATAGCTCAAGTGTTTCATCCACTGCCCCATCCTCTTTCCTCTCCCCTTGACCTGTGTGCTCTCAGAACGGAGGCCGAATAGTTCCACTTGGAAAGAGGAGCAAAGCAAACAAACTTTGGGTCTGGCCATGGGGTCTCCTGGTGGCGCATATTCATGCATTTTTAGTTTCTCTCTGTTGCCTCATCCTTTCAGCAAAAAACACGCTCAAGTCTTCCACCTCAAACAAAAGATCAGTCTTACAACTGCCCACCCTGAGTTCCTACTGCTCCATATCTTCTTTCAATTTAGCTGCCACCTCCTCCAGTTTTCTGAAGCTCTTGTCTCAAAAGCAGCCAGTGACTTCATAATTTCTGGTATCCGGTACTCAGCACCTAGGTTCTCCGATCAGAGTGCAGCTTTCTGCCCACTGCCCACACTGTCCACCTAATGCCCTCTCCCCCCATGCTTCTGTGACATGGCATCAAAGCTCCTAAGACCTCTCTTTTCCTAGTCCCTCAGTGTGTCTGGTGCCCTGTCTTCTGACTTCGAGCCCTTTATCCTTTTTGTTCTAAAAGTGCTTCTGTGAACTTTCCATTATTCCAGCTGTGGGCAACTCACAAATTACCCTTCCAGCCCTCACTGCTCTCTGGGCCCACATTTCGATTCATACAGCCCACCAGCATCTCAAGCTCAACGTGTCTGCAGCAGGTGAGAGCATCTCAAACCCGCCTTCCCTCTTTCAGCATTCATTCAACCTCATCACCTCCAGACGCAGGTGCTGGTCCTCGTTAAGCAGTTAGGGAGAAAATGTCACTCCAGACAGGCACAGAGAACAAAGGAAACCAATTCTTGACTCCTAAGTTTAAAAAGATGTTGACATGGGTTTAAGTTAAAAGGTGTTAGATGTGTATTTTCCAAGAGAGTATCCTGGTCTGCCAGATGAGACAAACTCTCCGTGCTGAGCGGAAGCAGCTTTGCATCTCTTCTGCGACCCCCACAGCTGGACGTGCCGGGAGATCAGCACGGAGGCAGGCGCCGGGAGCAGTTTCAGATGTCTTTAACACTGTTGTCCCCCCTTGACTGCTCTCCCAGAGCCCAGTGCCCATTGTTCCCTGATTGCCAACAGAAGGGACACCTGTGTCTATCCCAACACTTTGTCCACAACATTTCCCCAAATGATCCCCCCTTTCAGTTGACCCATGACATTCTTAATCCTCCTCGAATGGACGTTGAGAGCACGGTGTAGTGAAGGGCTGGGTGGCCAGGGAGCTCCTGTTCCTAGGCACGGACAGCTGGAGAACTCCGGCTAAACTGTGGAAATAACTCTTCTAGTAATTGTCTGGATCAAACTGATTACCTCCTGCCCCCCCCCCCCCCCCCCCCCGCCCATAAGTGCTAGTTCTTCTTTCTGAATTTCATATTTTTGTTAATCCTAGATCCACAAACTCAATACCCTGGAATAATTTTCAAAAGTTTCTCTCTATAGTAGGCATTTATGATATCATCTGCTCATCACATTTCCCCTTTTCTAGAAATGACCTCCCACACTCACCCCCCACCCTCCCCAGCACCAATGATAGTAGGAGGTCCCGATGTGCTAACACGATCCCACACCCCACCCCTGGCCATGGCTGACCGGTTCCAGGTGGGCAGCTGAACCAATACGGAATGATTACCGTGTTAGAAAGACTTCAGCTACAAGTATGAGAAAATCTGACAGATAGCACCTTAACATATAACAAGAACTCCAAAGTTAGGCAGCCCAGGACAGGGGCCCTCAGGACCCAGGCTCCTATCTTACTGCTCTGCAAACTTTTTCATGGGATTTTCATAATCTTGGTCACAAAATGGCTACTGCACCTCCAGCTATCGCATCCATACTACTGTAGGGAAGAATTATGGAGGGGCTAAAGGCAGAAGGTAAAGGACTGACGGGGCAGCCACCATGACTGTTATAAAGCTTTTCGGGAATATTTGGGTCGTATCTATACCTCTATGAAAAATTAATTTCAAAATTACTTCAGTTAAAGAAAAAGCAAGGCAGCAACACCCAACTGAACTGGATGTTTAGCCTACACTTAGCTTGGAGAACCAGTTATTTTAATGATCTATGTGAACAATTGCCTCTAAAGACCTAAAATAGAGTAAAATCTCAAAATTTCCACTTCTTTGCTCATCTCTCTACCACCACCCATCCCCATCCCATAAGAATTTCTGAGAAATCGGCAGAAGCGTGCCACGGCAAACATATCTCGGCTAATAATTAGCCTGAGTCTCTGTATCTCGCTGAAAGGAACAGAACTGAGCCACTGTGATAGCACATTTCTTCAGTTTGGCTCTCAAAACCTGGGAATTGGTGAAAGAGTACAATTTATTAAGCTCGTGGAAATTATGGTGGGTGTGAGCGGTGAGAAGGCAGTAAAGCTGTCAGAGGGGTGTCAGAGTCCCTTTTCCTTCTCTCCAGATAAGGGCAGGCCAACTTCCGTCAGCTGGCCCTGCAGTCAGGTGTTCAACCAGCTTTTGGGAAGAGACGAAGGGCAAAGTTCAGAAGGACTCTGAGTGGTGTGCGGGGTCTGGAAAATGATGCTTCACATACCCCCAGCTCGTGAGTTTGCGTGAGGCTGGCCAGAGTCTTCAGCTGGTGGGGACACAGAGCACACAAAGCAGAGCAGGAAACGGGGTTCGGAAACAGATGAGCCCCTCCCTGACCCTCGTGTTTTACAACCCATTGTAAGCTTACTGTTTGTCCCCCGCGGCTGTCTGATGCTTGAAGCCTTTCGACGTGGGGATGCCTTTTACTCCACGCTGACAAATGAGGCTCAAAGACCAGTATCCTTCTTGAAGACATTTCGAATGTCCCCAGTCAATGTGGTTGAAAGTCACACTAACCAGGCTGTTGCGGCCTTTCTTCAGCACAGCAGAACGAGGTGAAGGGGGGTGCTGTGGGAGCCAGAGGGGGAAGGAGAGAGGCCCTTTGCATAGAGAGGTTGAGGATGGGAGGGAGGGAAACCAGCACACAGCTGGCTCGAGACCAGCCTATCTGACGGGGCAGATGTTCAAAATGGCCTGTGCCTGCTTATCTTTTATCAACTTTATGGGTCTTCTCAGAATCAGAGCAATAATGAAGGGGATTCTTACAGAAAAACGGGCCAGAGAGGGTGCTTTTCATTAACGAGGTTCCTTGATCACCACCATGCCCAGGCAAACCCCATCGCCGGCATCTAGAGATGCAAAGGACCTTTCCCAGAGGGCAGCTCTTCCCCGTCCTTCCTCCCCCGACCCGGCCTCCCAGCAAGCTACACTGTGGCCCAAAGCCTCCCCTGAAGTAGCTAATTCACTTCTCAGTCCAGGCCTTTACCTTTCATTGCACCTGCTGGAGAGTCACACCCGTCTGCCCAGTGACCGGTGTGTCCCCGTGCCAGAGCTGCCCGCCGCAACTGAGGAAGGATAAACAAACCGCCTTGAACAACTGGCCTGACCCACAGCCATGGAGAGCCCACCACCGCATCCAGCCACTACGAAAAAACCTGTAGAAACCGCCACTAGTGTCTTAAATTATTATCTACTACTAGAAATTAAAGTCAGACTGGAGACTTAAGGGACAAATTAGCCCATGGCCATCCTTCTTACACTTTACGCCCAACAACATGGAACTGGTATGGTGACAGAACAAACAAATCTATCAGATCTGCGTTAGCTCCTTTCCTTGTTTCCTTAGGGTGCGTGTGCGGGGTTGCGGAGCAGGCAGTGTGAATGTCCGACCGCCTGGTTTACAGGAGTTGCTGGAAGGACTGGACGTGAGAAACACCACACCCTACAATTGTAGGAGGATAGTGTTTTTAAATCTCCTGTGCCTTAATCCCTTTCACACAGCAGGTCATGAGTTTTACGCCGGGTCAGTGAGACAGTCCCTTTGCTTTTCCTAGTTCTGAAATAATCCGTGGGCCCCGCAGCAGCACGGCCTGGCAGGTTTTAACTACAGAACAGCGACATGCAGTTGATCCCACAAAGTCCTTTCCTGGGGATTTCCTAGCAGCCCTATGCGCTCGAATCCACTCCCTTGGGAAACTCGCGGGCAGGCAAGGAGCGTGCAGGCTCCGCCCCCTCCATCTCACTTTCCAGAAGCTCCAGACGCCCCGGAGGACCGGGCCGGGCGCGGGCCCGCGTGGACGCGGCGCCGGATTGGCAGCCGTGCTGGAGGGCGTCGCGCGGGGCGGGGTCCGGGCGTATTTCTGTCGCTGGCCCGCGTTCCCTTGCCGTCGCGCCGGGGCCGAGCCGGGAGCGGGGTGGACGTGACCGCCGCGCGCGCTCCCCGCGGCCCGCGCTCGGGGACGTTGGCGACAGCGCGGGACTACAGCTCCCGGCGTCCCCGCGCCGCTTAGCTCCTCCCCGGGGCGGCTCCCGCGCGCCACGGCGGACCCGCTCGGCCGTGTGCCCGCTCGGCGGCCCGGGGTCGGCGGCGCGGAGATGGCGTGGCGGCTGGGCGCGGGCGCCTGGGGGCGCATGGCGCGGGCCGGCGGCGGGGAGCCGGGGGCCTGCTGGCGGCGCGGCGCGGCCGGGCCCATCGGTGCTGGGGGGACCCGCGGGCTCGGGCACGGCCCGGCGGCGGGGGGCGGCCCCCGGCTGGGGCCCGGACTGGCCGCGGCGCTGGCGGGGCTGGCGGGGCTCGCAGCAGCCGCCTTCGGGCACGTGCAGCGGGCGGGGATGGTGGCCTGGAGCTCGGGCCCGCGGGGGAGGCCGGAGGAGGAGGAGGACGACGAGCTGGCCCGTCGCTGCCGCTGCTTCATGGCCCCGCCGGTGACCGACCTGCGCGAGCTGCGGGCCAGGCCCGGCGACATGAAGACCAGGATGGAGCTGCTGATCCTGGAGACCCAGGCCCAGGTGTGCCAGGCGCTGGCGCAGGTGGACGGCGGCGCCCGCTTCTCCGTGGACCGCTGGGAGAGGAAGGAAGGTGAGGCGCTCGGCCGCCGGCGGGCTGCAGGTGGCGGGCAGAAGACGACCCCGAAGGCTTGGGGTGGGAGCAGGGACCTAGCGAGCGGCTGCTAGCTTCGAAGGACACCGTTCAAAAGGTTAACGTAGAAAGGGTCGTCCGCCCTCTGCTTGCTGGTGTGGACCCCGATCTGCTGTCTCTCTGGTACAGAATATTTAAAGTCTTTGCAATTTTATGGTAGCATTTTTGTAGAAGTCTTAGGATTATTTTTATACAACATGCTGGAATGGCCAAAGTTGTCATTCAGCGTAGATTTTTCCCCGTATTTCATGCGCTTCTTGAGTGCGTTTACCCTTTCTCCTTCCTTGGAGGTGGAAAGATGACTTGGCTCCTCTTTGCTAAGTGTCAGCCAGACTCCTCCAGCTGAGGGTGTCCTTGTGTCTTTTTCCCGAGCGGCACCAGGAATACTTGATTGGCTTGTCAGTAGTTCCACGAAATACAACCATCAGACTTCCTGCTAGGAGACTTTCCTTCCAATGGCAAAATACTTCAGTGTTAAAACAGGTCTTACAGAGTCCTATATTCAGGACCGTGTGTACACAGTGAAGCCCAGCTCTGGGTCATGCGCTTGAGGATTGGACTTTTGCTTCCCGGGATGCTGCAGCGACTTCTCCTCAGCCGGCTTGGGCTGTGTGACACTGCCACCTCTATAGTCGATGACGGGAAAGCTGGTTTCATAGTGTCTTTCATCTTGGAGTGTTTTCAGGTGAAGGACGTTGAACCAGGACACAACCTCAAGTACCAGCCTAGCTGTTTGTCCTTCAGAAGCTCCCTAACTTTTTGTGCCTCTGTTTCCTCAGCTATGAAATGAGATTAGAAATGATAGATGAGGGTATTGTAAGGATTAAGTGGAATGGATATGTGGGAAGTGCTTTAAAATATTGTCCGGTGCGTAGAAAGCACTGAGAAAAATTGTTTGTCCCCTTGCCAGCTGTGTGTGCTTGGAGAAGGGGTTTTGGGGTTCTGGGCCTCGGTTTCTCATCTGAAGTAGAGAGGGGGGATATACTGGATCATCTTGTGTCCTGTCCACTGCTAAAAGTTCTTAGAAATGCCACAAGCTAAACATGAACCTTCATGAAACAGTCACCCTTGGGGTAACTCTAGTATCTTAAAAATAAATACATACATAAACAGCCACTGATAGTCACTGCACAGTGGGGCTCATGTACCTGAATGTTAGTGTGTCTTACAGCCACTGATACTCACTGCACAGTGGGGCTCGTGTACCTGAATGTTAGTGTGTCTTACTCAGGTGAAGGGTCTGAACCCTGAATCGTTCAAATTCCTTCTGTTTTCTACTTGCCTGTAAACAAAATTAAAAGGCAAACAGCACACTGAGACGAAAACAATTGAAACAATACGGAGCTCTTAAATTTGGTAATAATAGAACACCCTTCAAATATACCCATTCCTGTTTTTAACTGTAGCTTTCTCTCGTGTGTTATAACCGGTGGAAGCCGTTCTGAACGGCGGTATTTGAAGGGAAGATATTCCAGTGGGTGATTTTAGGTCACCGCAGAAGAATGGAGAAGTACTGAGTGTGGCGATGTGGAGAGATAGCATATTTGACCAGTACTGGAAGCTGATGTCATAAAACTAAGCTAGTTATCTAATTTTATTGTACTTAAAAATTATAAATATGCTGATATTAGAGAAGATTTGGAAAATAGAGGAGGAAGTAAGTCCTAATTCCCCCACGTTCCTGCAAGGGTGGTTTTCAGTTTTGCAGGTCCCCTTACATTCTCTCCTCATTTTATGTTTCCCTAAACAGGGGGTGGTGGCATCAGCTGTGTGCTTCAAGATGGGCATGTTTTTGAAAAGGCTGGAGTGAGCATTTCTGTCGTTCATGGAAACCTTTCTGAGGAAGCAGCGAAACAAATGAGAAGCAGAGGAAAAAATCTGAAGACTAAAGACGGTAAATCAGACAATCTCAGCAGCCTTAAATAGTCCCGGCAAAGCTTTTTCCCATGAGTTTTATTTATAAGATAAATGTTGCTTCTGTAAAAAGCCATTTGAGTCCATGTGCCAGATAAGTGTGTTCACAATTACTTTTTAAAAATTTTATTTTAAGAGACCAATTAAAAAGCAGCTTTTGAAAATTGATCCAGAAACCGTATTGGAATTCCTTTGTATCACACCAGGTGATTGAGTGCAGCTTGCTGTGTGTTTTCCTTTCCAGGGAAATTGCCGTTTTCCGCTATGGGTGTGAGCTCCGTTATCCACCCCAAGAATCCTCATGCTCCTACCATCCACTTCAACTACAGATACTTTGAAGTAGAAGACGCCGATGGTAAGGGTGTCTGGAGCTGTGCAAAGTATTGTGCAAAATTGTATTTTAAAACAGGTTACAGGGCATAACGTCTAAAAGGTGATAAAATAGAAACAGTCTTAATGAGGTTTTTCAGGAGGCATATGAAGGCTTTTTCCTTGCCAGGTGCAGTCGATTATGCACTAGGCATGGAAAGTGAAAATGGTATTGGCTGACCTCCCATATTTCCTCCAACAAAGAAGGAATGATTTAATGAACTCAGACTTGGAGTGCATACCGGCTTCTTTGCAAATATAAATTCATTACATCCAAAGGAAAACCTCGTGTGCAGGGTTGACATTGAGAACTTGCTTTTGGAAATGATCTTCCACAAGCATAGCTTTGCTGGTCGCTGTTGCATTATCAGTGGGTTCAAATGGGGTGCAGGTGATGGTGCCTGGTTGTGCACTTGTGGTTCTGGCCTGCGTCTCCGTTAGCTGGCCAGCTGTCAGCACCTGTCAGAGCGCCTGTGCAGCGCCACGCTAGCCTCTGCGGGTGTCTCTGCAGGTGATGGTGTTTAAAGTCAATGTATTTTACTTTTCGTTTTGAAGCCATTTAGTTTGGTTCAAGCTTTTAATGTTTAGAAGTTGGTACCTGGTGCTGACCTAACTAAGCACATGAAAGAGTTACTCCAAATGGAAAGTTGTCTCCCTCGGCTAGCGTGTTCACCCTTTCTGGGGCAAGGGGAGGGGGTGGCAGTGGTTCTAATACAGGGAGGATCACACTCCCCTGGGGAGTTTTTATAAACTGGAGATGCCTGGGCCAGAGGTGTGCTTGTGGTTTTTTTTGAATTGTGACCTAACAGAGGTGTTTTAAGCTCTTCATGTGGTTCTTACATGCCACCAGCGTTGAGCCCTGCTGCCTGGTCCACCTGCGTGGTGTCTGTCATTCCCTGCCCTGCACATCGTTTCCCTGCCTGGTTCCATCGCGCACCTGTTACTCTCCTACTTCCTGTCTGTCTGCTTTTCCCTCCTCCTTCCTGCCTAGGCCTTCCTGGTCTTCAGAGCCGAATTCAGTTGAATGGTTTTTTTGGTCACCCGTTTCAGGCCTCACGAACTGAGGGGATAAGTTGAGTTTGCTAACACAGTGAGTAGTGCGCTGCATCTCACCGTCCAGACTCCGCCTCAGGACCTGTGTCTTGACTCGGCAGGTAACAAGCAGTGGTGGTTCGGTGGTGGCTGCGACCTTACCCCAACGTACTTGAACCAGGAGGATGCTGTCCACTTCCACAGAACTCTGAAGGAGGCTTGTGACCGGCACGGTCCAGATCTCTACCCCAAATTTAAAAAATGGTAGGTGAAGGCGTTGACCCTGTCGTGACCCCTCAGGTATGTTCCCTTCCTCGCTAGATCCCGAAGGCAGCTACTGTGTCACGAAATGCCTTTTTCAGTTTCTGAAGGCAGCTCTGTTTTCCTTGCCCACCAGAAGTGGGATGCCAGTTTTAAGTGGTTTTAATAAGTTATTTTCTTAGGAATAGTTGGATGTCTGTAATAAAAATTGGGTAGCATCTTCTTTTTTGATCTCAAATGATGTGGACTGTAAACTTCGGGTGATCCATGCTTGAGAGTCAGAGGCTTTTTAATCCTGGGTGGGGTAGTACATTCTCCCCCCAGAGGGGACTGTCGGTGCTGTGGGACGGTCAGGATGGAGCACGAGTTGGGGATCTGTTAGGGAGAGATGCAAATGCACCAGAGATTTTGAGCAAGGAGAAGAGTGGAGTTGGAAACTTTGTTAAAGAAGCTAGTGGTAAAGAAAAGGAAAACAGTTGTGAGGAGACCAGGAGATTTGGTAGATGGGAAATGGAGTCTGGGCATAAATTGTTTGGAATAAGAGTAAAATAACACCAAGAGGTAATTGACATTCTTGAAAAAGGAAGAATAGAAAGGATTTGGGGGTTTTTTTGCTTTTAGAGTTAATAATTGTGGAATCTTGATGTTATCTGTGTAAAAGCATGGAGTTCAGCTTTAAAATCCTCAGAAAAGATAAGACATCTGAATATTCTCCTTGTGATTTGAGGTTACCACTGAGAACTGCACAGCGATGGCGGCAGGGATGTGAGAGGGAGGGTTTCTCTCTCTCACAAACCAGCGTCCTTCCGGGAGGAGGGCTGGGGCGGAGATAGTCCCCTTGTTTGGTTCCCTTTTATCGCTGTTACTGTGATGACTCTATCTGAGTAATATTGATAAAATACCTAGGATGCACGCTAATTAAGAAGTTTTTAGTATAAGTATTCAGTAAATCTCTTAATGTCATGAAGAGATTTTGAAATAATATGATTAGGTTTGACTTTACAGCCTTGCTCAGGATATCCTTGATGTTCATAAAATGTGCTCTAAAAGGAAAGCCAGCAAGTCACGGTCGGGGTGAATTATACCAACACGTCAGTCCTAGGGATTTGCATTTGCCGTCTTTTTTTTTTTGACTTTGAGCTATTAAAGCTATTTTTAAGGTAACCTTTTAAAAAATAGCTTTTAGTTTTTGTACAGTTTTTTCTATTTAGGGACCCTTGTTTGATGGAGCTCATGAAAAGAACTATTTCCACCATGTAAACTATTCCACAAGTTTTAGCATTTAGAAAATGCTTTCTTAGGAAACAGCTCTAGGAGACACAGAGGGCAGAGGCTCGAGAACAGATTGATAGTCCATGTGCTGGCGCGGGGTAACCTTTCATGCAAGAAGTGTAACAGTCTGAAGACCCCTCTTCTCTGAATGGTTCCTTCCACCAGCCCTTCCCTCAGTCCCGCATGCTGTAGAATCATCAAGAGACCTGACAGAGTATTTACTGTACCTAGCTTTGGAGAGTAAAGAGCAGCCTCGGGAGCCCAGGGATTGGCGTCCAGTCGGGCACCTGGTTGGTGTCCTTGTGGAGGCTTCCTGTCCTGCCTCTTGGGGCAGCAGCATCACTTGTTTCAGGAAATGCACCATCAATGCTGGACTCTCTGTTTCTCTTTTCATTAGGTTCTTAGAGTTCCATCCTCACACAGACACGTGTTAAATTGCCCAGTTGCATCTCCTGCCTTGGCAATAACTGCAGGAGATCTGTCTAAAGCCCTGGGTTTCGTTCCCATAGTTGGACCAAGAGAAAGGGCGCTGTGCTGGCGTTGCTCAGGGCCAGTGCTCTGAGCCGGGACACCCACGTCGATTTCCGTGCCTCTGATCCCTGATGCAGCCCTGCTGTGTGTTCCAGGTGTGACGAGTACTTCTTTATAGCCCACCGTGGGGAGCGGAGGGGCATCGGGGGCATCTTTTTTGATGACCTTGACTCTCCATCCAAGGACGAGGTGTTTCGCTTCGTGGAGAGCTGCGCGCAGGCGGTGGTCCCTTCTTACATCCCCCTCGTGAAGAAGCACCGCAGTGACTCGTTCACGCCCCAGGAGAAGCTGTGGCAACAGCTCCGGAGAGGACGGTGAGTGGGGGCCGGGGAGTGGCTGTCTCGGTGCAGCCGAGCGCCGAGTGACGGCGGCTGTGTCACCCTGATTGCTTTCCCTGACTAGAGGAGTATCAGATGAATAAAGCATTGTGTGAAACAGTCTATAAAAAAGAGCAACGTTTATTTGTCTATACGTTAGAGACGCTCAGTAGACATGGAGTGAGTACTTGCTGGATTTGACTCAGCTGAATTTGTTTAGTTTTGTTTATTGTTTCTATTTAGTTTTTCTTCTAGCAATATCCTCCAGTCCTACACCAAGATATGGGCGTCATTTAATGTTTTTTGCTGCTCTGTAAATGGGCGATCACACCTTTTTCATTCATCTTCAAGGTTTTTGGAAGTCGTTATGATGGAAATAATCATTTCAGAAGTTATTTACAGTTAATGATAATGGTTACTAGTTAGGTAGTCCTTACTCTGTGCCAGCCAGTAAGTTAGGCAGTTTGCATCTGATTTTCTCCATCCACTTGTGAGATTAGTGTAATTATCGTCATTTTCCAGGTGATAAAACTTAGCAAGGTAGATCCCTTGCCCAAGGTTCCGCAGCTGGTCAGTAAGATTCCAGATGAGGCACCAGGTCATCACAGCTTCAAAACGTGCAGCCCTTCCTGCGCGTGAGGGACGTTAAGTAGTTGAAGCGTTTGTGGTGGTGGCCGTGGTGCGCTCCTCAGCCGCCCTGCTCTGGGCGTTGAGCACGTGAGCTCAGCAGGCCAGCAGAGCGGGTCATCCTCAGCCGGGCGCCCCTGTGGCTCAGCTCCAGGTTGCCCTTCGGTGGCAGCTCTCCACGGTTTCTCATTGCCGCCTGAATGCATGTAAACCAGTCGGTGGCTGTGAAGTGGATTTTCTCGTTTATGTTAGTTCTGTCTCGGGCTCCTGAAGCTTTGGGGACTTCAGGACGTAAGGCTGGTGCCCCGGGAAGGGTCAGCTTAGTAACGTTGCAAGTCTAAAGATAACCGTTTGTGTTTATCGTTTCTTGTGACTGCCTGTGCTGTCTGGTCCCCGTGTATAAACTTGGGAAAATGAGCGTTGTTAAGTTTTCTTGTTAGAAGCATCTTCAACAGCGCATCTGTTTGGGGATGTGTTTTTTTTGTTCCCATGGTTTCTCAGATGCATCTTTGCCGCTCCCTCCTCTCGCCTGACCTTTGTGCCCCTGTGGCTGGGGCTTTGCTGGCCGTGAAGGTGGGTGGCACGTGGACCCTCGGAAGGGGCTCGTGCTACAGGGGGCACGCAGTGCCTGGGGCAAGTTTAAGACACTAGGGAGAGGGTGGGGCTCTCGTGTGCAAAGCTGGCAGGGTTTGTGAATGCTGACGAGGTGAAGCTTTTAAAACGTAGACATAGAAATGTTTTTGTTTTCCGAATGTTTTTCCTTGTGAATGACAAGACGTTGTGACGGTGCCATATATCCCTGCGCCTTGGGCGGTTCGTTGTCCGGCCGAGGGGTGGGGTGGGCCGTGGCGCTGTCTGTTCTCGCCGAGAGCCCCTGCCCCCTTATCTCTGGGCTGCAGCTGGCAGTGCACCCTCGGGCCATCGGCACTGTCCCATGCCGCCCTTGTCTGGGCCCTCACAGGTCCCCCTCCCACCGCCTCCGCCCAGGTGGGAGTTTGCCTGTGTCCGCCGCTGCCCTTTGACCTTACTGTGTCTTGTTTGGCAGCCTCGTCCTGTCTCTGAGCCTGGTCACCACTAGTCCCCCCCAGACCTTGAACTCCAGTCTTACCGTCTTCTTTTTCTGGGAGAACAGAGACAAAAGATCTTTAACTTCTTGTGGTTTTGTTGTATTTGGGGAAAGGGAGATAGGATAACATTTAGGCATGAGTTGAATAGAAGGGAAGGTGAGGGGTCATAGTTCACAGGTTCCTCAGAGGGTAGATGTGTGGAAGGACCAGAGAGCAGCTCGAAGCGAAACCTGGTGGGAGTGGGAGAGGCCGCTGCAGGGACAGCGTCGTCGGCTCCCGGGAGGAGGGCAGCTCGGGGAGCTCCTCCCCAGGGTGTCTGGGAAAGACGTCGGCACAGCTAGGGAAGCACCGCGTCCCTCATGTGTCGTGTTTGGGAAAGGAAATAGGGTGAAGACGGGGCTGAGGGACTGGAGCCCTTTTCCAGGGTCTTAGAAAGAAGTTGAGAAGATTCACGTAAATTGTCTTTTGAAATGGGCGTGAGAAGCTATTAAATAGTTGTCGGTGCACAAAACTCAATCACGATAAATAAATGGTGGCGATTAGAAAGGGGTCCATGGCATAGTTTCCTTCAGTGTTCTCAGGGCCTTCGGCAGGTTCCATGCAGAAGGTGCTGTCTGAGCCTTGGCGGCTCTGGGATTCCAGAGAACTCGTCCTCTGGGGTGACGGGGACAGTGATGGGGACAGTGACTGGGACAGGGACGGGTACAGTGATGGGGACAGGGATGGGGACAGGGATGGGGACAGTGACGGGGAAAGGTGAGAATGAGGGAAGTTCAGCCCGAGACAAGTGTCCGAATGAGCTGAGAAATGCTCTGCAAGGGGCAATGTTTACTGAAAATTTCAGATTTATGGATCATTCTCGATTCTTTTGGGTAGTAGAAACTGTTTTTTTGGGGCGGGCTCCATGGCCGAGTGGTTAAGTTCGTGCACTCCGCTGCGGCGGCCCAGGGTTCGGATCCTGGGCGCGGACATGTCATTGCTCGTCAGGCCATGTTGAGGCGGCATCCCACATCCCACAACTAGAAGGACCTGCAACTAAGATATACAACTGTGTACAGAGGGGGTTTGGGGAGATAAAGCAGGAAAAAAAAAAAAAAAGATTGGCAACAGTTGTTAGCCCAGGTGCCAATCCTTAAAAAAAAAAAAAGAAACTTTTTTTGGAAGTGGGGAGAAGAAGCCCTTTTATGAAGGAGCCCGTGATGATAGGGGCAGTCGGAGGCTTTTCAGCTGGGCAGTTTAGATCTGAGTCTGGCAGTTCGTGGAGAAGGGTTCTAGTGAACCAAGTGTGGACGCTAAGAACGTTTCCTAAGAAGGTGACACTGAGCACTGAGGGTCCCCCCCCCGCACCCCGGCCTGAGTGCGCTGCGTGAACCTGCGGGAAGACGGGCTGACGGGACTGCTGGTTGATGCTGCGGACGACTCGGGGGAAGCGGAGGGTCTAGAATGTACTAGTAATAGCTGCTCGTGGTACCTGGCCTCCAGTTACAGGAGTTCCACACTGTCTCGGTTCCTGGGAGGCCGAGGCCGTGGTGGAAGTCTCTGGCTCTGAGGCGTCTCGGCGGGTGGGGGGCCGGAGGGGCCGTGCGTTCCTAACGGAGGGCGCCATTCCTTTCCCTTAATCGTTGCTGTGCCTCAGAGTTCTCAGCTTTGTGTCCGTTCTGTTTGTTTATTGGAAAACATAACCTCCTTGTTCTGTGACTGCTCTGTGTTGGGGCCGACTCCGTGTCCTACTGTTTGTTGGATAATACTCTCTTATTTGTGCCCGTCCAGATGGAGAATACTCAACGGACCGTAGGCTGGTGTTTCTTGTGCCACTTCCCGCTGATTGGGGGGTGGGCGCAGGAAGAACCCCACTTTAAGTATTTGTTGTGGGCGAATCGTAAGCATTTTAATCAGCTAGCCCTTAATGTTGTTTGGTGTCTTCGTGTCAGGTATGTAGAATTTAACCTGCTGTATGATCGGGGCACGAAGTTTGGCCTCTTCACTCCGGGATCCAGGATCGAGAGCATCTTGATGTCTTTACCTCTGACTGCCCGGTAAGAAGAACTCATCGTCATAATTTCCTCCCACCCCAGCTTCCCAGCCCCAACAAAACATGAACGTTAACACCACGTGGTCTTACCTGAGGACTGCATTAGTTTTGACTTTGCTGATTTTATAAGAAAATCACTGTCAAATAGTTAAGGAAAATCCAACCAGGTTTTTAAGGGGAGGGAGGATGAACGGTCGAGCTTCGTATGCGAGAGCGGGAAGGAGAGAGGTGTGGACGAGGGTGGGCGGTGGCGTCTGGGGCCGGGTCGACCTTCCCTCCTTTGTCGTTGCCTAGGAAGAGCTGTGGGCAAAGCAGGTTGATTGAACATAGCAGCTTTTTAAACTTAATTTTATTACAAACTATTGCCCTTCTGAGGAAGAGTCTTACCTTCCAGTCCGAAGCATTAAGCTTGTGGAAAGCACGAGGGATTGTTTCCAGGGCTGGCCTTCTCTCCGTGCCTCTGTGCTGCTGCAGTGGGCTGCCCCACGAGATCCACCTGGGGAATTTTAAGACAGGTTGATTTTTGCTGGTGCCATTAGGTTAATGACAATCCGCAGTTGACTTTTTGACCATGAGAAAGTGAGGATGATGTCTGTCCAGACTGAAATAGAAAAGATCAGAGAAAAAGAAAAATTGCCATTGCTTGTTTTACAAGAGCTGGAATCTTCTTTCCTCCGCGAGTGTAAATGTCCATATAAGAGTGCACTGCTGAATGGCTTCCTGGTCTGCTGTTGTCCAGATCTGGCCGTGGGAGGTCAGTACCCTCCATGTTGTCACTGCCTTCAGAGCGGCAAATGTCCCCATTAGGTGTTCCTGCCACCCGAGAGGTGAGATGTGAAGAAAAAATCGAGATGAGTTCTGAGGCCTCTGATAGTCTGCTGGCCCCTAATTATGATGCCTGTTCCAAGCCGCAGATATGGGCGGATTATAAACCACCCCCTCATTCAGCTGAATGGCGTTAACACAGCAGGTCACTTTTAGCTGCTGTGCAGTCTACTCGAGGGGTCTGCAAACTTAAGGCTGCAGGACAAAGCCAGTTCCATTTGTGGCGTGTTTTTGAATAGCCCTTGAGCTAAGAATAGCTTTTACATTTTTAAAGGATTATTAAAAACAGGAAAAGAACATGCAAGAGACTGTACGTGGCCCCACAAAGCCAAAAGCATTTATGATGTGGCCCTTTATAGGAAAAGTCCACCACCCCCGGTCTGAACTAGTGCTTGCCAGACTTCATGTATCAGCTTAGCAGTTTTGACCATATTTGTATATTATCTGAGGTATTGTTTACTTAAATTGTGTAGTCTTATTTTCTCTGAGAGAGAATTTATTTATAAAGGCAAACCAGTATTATTGCCGTAAATAGAAAGTAACACATTGAAATAAATGCATAAGAAGTAAGCTAAAAAAGTTTGCCCATGGATCATCTAAGGTTCTACACCTTGTGAAATCCTGGCTTATAGTAAAAGTGTATTTTGGCTCTAGGGTATTAATGCTGGCCAAAGTGTGCCTGGGAATTATTAAGAAACTTTATCTCTTTAGCAGCAAATATTTTCTAAAAGCCTGGTGGGTACAAGGCATATTAGGCACCATGGAGACTAGCAGGTAGAAGACATTTTTCACTCTTTTAGAATCTTGTTTCTCATTTATTTTAAGTAAAGAGGTGTGTGTGTCATTTATTATTATTACATTTTTCCCTCCTGTTTTGGACCTACACAGATGGGAGTATATGCATTCACCCTCGGAGAACTCCAAAGAAGCTGAAATTCTGGAAGTTCTGCGCCATCCGAGGGACTGGGTGCATTGACACAGACAGAGCGGCCTTCCTGGGGTCTGGAGGACGCGCAGCGTGGGCCCTGTTCCACCGCCAGCGCTGTTGCCACTGTGTGGCGGTCGGTTACCTGGCCCCAGAGCTCCAGGCTTCGGCTCTCTGGGCTCTGCCTCCTGGGCAGGGGGTAAAATGAGTTTTAAGCACCACAGGTTTCCACTGGATGCTGTTGGTAACACGTGGTGAGATGGCAGCTTGTCAGAGTCAGTTAGTTGATAAAAAACTCATTTATACTTCTAGAATCGTTTTATATGACCAGCTTACAAAGTATGACTGAGTTTCCAAGTATTGAGTTAAGAGAATCTAAGTATAATTTGTATCAGGAAACTTCTCATGTTATTTTCGTTTCATATTTTGAAATTTTAGTTTCTGCCACAGAAATCTCTGTCATGGGATAAATGTTGTTTCCATTAATTCAATGAGGTTGAGACTTGCTAGTAATTTTAGAAAGCAACTTGAAATGAGGGTACAAGTTCTACTTCGTCGTTGCTGAAGTTTCTTTGATCGTCATGTTTCTATTGATCTTTCTCTACAGATCATAATATTGTAAAATAGTCATTTTTATGATGATAGATATTTAGGAACACTTGAAATTTCCTTAATCTCTCCTGGGGTGCTTGTGGTTGCTAACGCTAAAGGGGCATTGCTGTTACTTAAACGAGGGACGCCGAAGTGGCCATTTGGATTTCTGCAGAGCCATGATTTGTTAATGTTGGGATTTTCTGCACTTTTCAAGGTGAAAGTTAAATCCTTGTATTCTGATATTTAAATTTTTCTTTCCCAGACATATTTCTATGGAAGTTTAGACTAAGAACAATCATGGGGATGTGTAGTGAATTTGGGAAATGTTTCTCATTTAAGAAATGAGGAAATGAGACTCAACATTTTCCTTTAATTAAAGCAGGCACAACTTGGGTGAGAAGCATGCAGGCATTTTATAAATCTATTTCTTTGTAAGAGGAACTCATTGAAATTGTCCTTTTTTTAAATTAGAGATTTGAAACTCTTTGCTTTTAAGAAAATCACAAGAGAATTCTTAATGTGACTTCCTTATTCATATAATAATATGAATGTATTTTATTTTATTCATAATATATTGAGTTTGTAAGGGATAGTATCTTCCTACATATTATTAAGCATTGTCTTGGAATATGTTGAATGTGTGTGATTGTGTGTGATTCTTTAGGGCTGGAAAATGTACAAATTCTTCAACTGTCTTACAACAGATCTGCTAATAAATTTTATTATGAAATATGACTAAGAAATGTTTGTGTTTTTTTTTCCTCAGGATAGTTGATGTAGGGGAGGCACAAATATTTCTTGATACTACATCATATTTCTTCATTCCTAGATATTTTACCCAAGAAAAATGAAAATATAAGTTTTGCACTGGAATTTTCATAGCAGCTTTATTCACAATAGCCCAAAGTTAGAAATCACACAAATGCTCATCAGCAGGTGAATGGATAAATTATGATCTAGCCATGTGTTAAAACACTGTTCAGCAATGAGAAGGAACGGCTATTGATAAATGTAACAACAGGGGTGAATACCAAAAGCTTTATGCCCAGTGGAAGAAGCCAGACACGCAAGAGCATCCCCTGTATGACTACGTTATAGGAAAACCTAGGAGTCAAAACTGAGACGGAAAGCCGATTGTTGTTTGCTGGGGATGGGAATAGATTATGAAAGGGAACAGAAGAATGTTTTGAGGTGATGGAAATGGTCTCTGTATTGACCGTGGCAATGGTTACCAGACTGTATACATTTATCAAAGCTCATTGAACTTGACACTTAAAGTCATGAAATTTTATTGTGTATGTGATATTTCAATAAAGCTGATTAAATGAAAAAAAGTCCATAACAGAGGCATGTAGGAACAAATGTTCAAATAAACCACAGTTTGCCTTTTCCAATAAAAAGTCCCTTATGTAATCTGCCAGCCTGTTTAGTTGTGTTAAGTCTGTTGGGGTCTGGGCATTGGGCTGAGATGAAATTTCAGTTTTTCTGTGCCTATCAGTTTTTCATATTCTTCAATGCCCATGTATTTCTCTTACAGATGAGATTATGTCTGGGGAAAAAATTAACAGAATTGCATGACTATTGGAAAATAGATCATTCTGTTGTTATTCAAAGTGAATTTCTTTTTCAAATATGTATTGATGTCTATTCTGAGTCTACTGGAGGCCCCGTGACCAAGGGGTGGGAGTGCCTGCTGGTGCTGTCTCTCTGGAGCGGGTTTAGTGGCCATCAGGGGTGGGAGTTGGAGGGGAGGGGTGTCAACGCTCTGGAGCAAATTCCTAACCACTCCTTTCTGTCACACTCTGCTCTGCTTACCCACGTATTCAACTGAGTGTTGAACGAGATAAAAGCTTCTGCACGCTGATGAGCACCAGATTAGAAGGCCAAAGACCCTGTTTCTTTATGACTTAGCCTTCCATGTGTCTTGCTGTTAGGGTTCATCCAGGCTGGGATCATCTGCGGGGCTCTGACTCATGTCCGTGTCTAGGCCAGGACGACTGGAAGGCCAGGCTCAGCGGGACCTGTGGACCACAGTCCTGCAGGCAGCTTGGAGCCCGTCTCCATGAAGGAGGCAGAGGCAGCATGCTTGCCCTCTGCTCTGTCTCTGGAGGTGACACATTCCGTTGGTTACCAGTGAGTCACTCAGGCCAGCTCCAGATTCAAGGGAAGGGAATCAGGCCCCAACTCTCAAGGGGAGGCACCATCGTCAAGGAATTTGTGGTCATCTTCAAAACTGCCGCATGGCCCTCCCCTTCCCAAAACCACAACATAGGTTTGACTCTGTCCCTCCCTTGCTGCCCTGTCGAGTCTACCTTTGAAGTGTTTCTTGACCTCCTTCCCCTGTCCACTGCCACCACTCTGCTTTTGTCCCACATTCCTTATCATCTGGACTTTCGAGATAGCCTGCCTGCCTCTGGTCCCTCTGACCTCCATTCTCTCCCTTCAGAATTACTTCCCGAAATCCCACTATCACTGCCCTCCCCGATATTCTAAACACCCCCCTTCTCCTACAGAGAAGGTTCTAAACTCAACCTGGCATTGAAGAGCCCGCGATTTGACCCCACCTCTCTTTTCAGCCCTACCTCCTGCCTCCCTCCCCTGCGTTCAGCCTACAACTACATGCCAACCACTCCCCATTTTTCTGAACATTCCCTGATTCTGTTCCATCTGGCCTTTGCTCAGGCTCCTGCTATCTCTGCTTGGAATCTCTTACGCTCCTGTCCATCCTTCTGTGTCCGGTTCAAATCTTCAAGAAACTTTCCTTGAAATCAATCTTTCTGCCCTTCAGCACATTTTTCCTTTGGTGTCGCTTTCATCACGGTCTTTCACACAGCCATGCAACGTACACGACACTTATTACAAAATATTTAAGGTGGATCTTTCTTCATTTATAACATCTGCTACCTTGTGAATGCCTGCTGCCTGTTAACCTTTGTCTTCCAACTCTGTTTTGCAATATATTGTATCAAGCTTACTATTGTTTGGCTTTCTATATGACTGTCTTATGTCTTAATGTCCTAGTCTATGAAGCCAGAAGTTTCCAGTATGCATCTTTTAAAAGCCCGTTTAGGAATTGTTTTCAGGGATGTGTTGTATTATCCCTGCCACAAGGATTGTGTATTTGAAATCTCCCATTTAAAAAATTGGATCCTTCTTCCCAAAGAAACACACATGTAAAATTCCAATTTCATAATAGATGTAAATTAGCACATTGAAGTTAGTGAAGTTTAGACATTTACAAATGGCTTGACTAAATCCTGAATTTTGTGTTGTTAGCTGAAACCAAGTCATAGCTTGTACAATATGAAACCTCACAGACCTGTTTCTACAGGTGTTTTAGTACCAGACACCAGCACATACCAGCAGAGCGAGATAATTAAACTGCATTCCATCTGCCAAGCAACTATTTGGTCATTCATCAGTATTTTAAAGAATCCTTCACCTCTTAATTCCCACTCATCCTTCAAAACACATTTGACCATAAAACTTGGCATTATCTAGTCCGTCATGGTTTCAGCGAGTTGACACAAATACAGTCACTTAGGATAGCAAATCGACTTTGTACTCATTTAGAATTGCAACATGGGCTCTGTCCCAGATGCGTTTGCCTATGACATGGTGGGGAGGTGTCAAACTAAAGGTCACAAACAAAGTTGTGCCAGTCGAATGCCTCTCTTATTTAACAGTGGGGGAATAACGCATTTATAAATGCGGGTCTTCACAGTGATTTATCTCCTCTCAGGTTCTGTGAAAGTTGCCTCCATTTTCTGATACGGTGAGGCAGCCGGAGACTCTCGGAACGTTCCATGCTTGCTGCCTGACAGCCTTCTGACCCTGGCTATGGTGGGCACAATTTTAACCCAGCTTATCACTTTCTTGTAGTTCAAGTTGTAGTTTATTCAAAATAGTTCAGTAGATATCCTCAAAGAATATTTAATATAATATCTACATCAATACAAGTTAACTTACTTCTAAAAGTAATTTTTATTCTTTAATGTGTATTTGATCTTAAATGCTCTTCAACATGAGAGTGTTACTTAAAAATAATGTGGATATTTCTAGGAAACAAAGAACTTGACCTCCCTCTGTCCTACCGTTTGGTAACATGAGGGAGAGATGGTACCTCCCTTGTAACAGCAAGAGTCTTCTCAGCGGGGGCTCTGGCATGTGGAGCCCAGGCCAGCGGGGCCCTGCTGCGCCCGCTCAGAACCCCTGACTCAGAGTCTGTGAGCACAAGAAAATGGCTGCTTCTTTACGTCACTGAATTTGAGGTGGCTTGTTTAACAGCAATAGTTAGCTGGAATGGGTTAGATACCACTAACGAGAGAGAGAGAGAGAGAGAGAGAGAGAGAGAGAGAGAGAGAGAGAGAGAGAGACATGAGAGCAGTTCTGATGAGCTTGACAGGCCCGCAAGCCGTCTATAGCAGTATTTAGACACGTGAGTCAAGAGCTCAGGAGAGAAGTTCAGTCTAGAAACATATATTTACCAATCGTTTGTGCAAAGACGATAATTGGAAAAGTAGAAGAGCGTGAGCCATCTGAGGAAGCACGTGTAGTGCAGTAAGAAAGGAGGGTCCAAGGCTGACCTGGGGCAGGGAAAGGAGCAGGGACGAGACGTCAGGGGGAGCAGAGACGCGGCTCGCTGCACAGGTGTAGCCGGGAAGAAGGGGATCCAAAGGGACAAGTTGGGTGAGACAGCAATAAGGCTAAAACATGACAATAGCTGTGACGCTACATAAAAGATATTAAAATAACACGTGCTCTACGTAAGATGTTTGAGAAATCAGGTATTAACTTCAGATCTTTAGAAATAACCATAGTCCAGTGCTTAACTTACCAAGATCTTGTCAGGCACTAAAATTTAGGCAATAAAATAAAATTATTTCCATTAACGTATCAGATAGTGTCTCCAGTTTCTCAAATTGTGTTTAAATATGAAATTTTTTAAAGAACCAGTAGGTGGAGCCACATTTGCCCAAGAAAATCTGGTCATGGGTTATTTGTGTTTTGGTTTTGGTGGGAGGAAGGGGAGAGGAAGGAAGAGAAAGTGAACAACACGGAGGGAGAGAGCAGAGGAGAGGGAGAAGCAGCGGGTGCAAGTGAGATGGAGGCGAGGACAGCGCAAGAGGAGGGGTAGGCGGGAAAGGAGAGAAGAGCGAGAGCGGGCATCACTGAACTCTGGTGGCGTGGAGAGGTGATCTAAGGGAGTTAAGATGTATTTAATCAAGCATGGTTCATCTGACTGTGGTGTTTCTATCCCGTCAAATGGCTCCATGACGTTTCATTTCTCCCTTTATTACAGGGAGATTCTGAGGTTGACAATGTCTATAACCCCAACATTGTTGGCTGTCTAAAGCAGGGGTCTCCATCTGAGTCCCTGAACCGAGGGTTCCCTGAAATCATGAGAAAATGTATGCATTTTTCATAGCGTCCATAATGTTAGTTTGCCTCTCGAAAGGATCCATGATCCTGAAAATATGGAGCACTTCTCATCAAAGTCGGGAGAGCGTCTATACTTAGGAGGGTGTGTGTGATAAGTCAGTGAGGAAAGATAGGAAAACATTTTTATCTGTTCTAAAGTTCTATTTTTGTGTGTAATTTAATTATTTGTCCCTAATAAATTAGCACATTAATGCGTATACTTAATTCACAAATATGCCAGGATATTTTGTGGGTACAAAATCAGCAGCACATAATCAAAAAATTTCAAAATTTGCTTGTCCAAATAGTGTGTA